TTTAAATGTTAATTCAGAGACCAAATAAACAGTGTTTTAATTTAATGGGTTAATTTAACTATATAAAATTCATAAACTATAATTGGATTTTTATTATATGACTTATCTATAAAAACCAGATTACCAAAGAAATCCCTAAGGCTAGATGAATATGGAAAAATGGACTGAACAAGAATCCAGTTTGAAATTGACAGAAAGGCTGCTTATTTTATCTGCCTACAACTGTTTGAAAAGAATTTTCAGCAATTTATGAATTATATCTTCCCCTTACTCCTAGTTAGTTAGGCATTGTAGGTCTCCTATGGATTGATTTTTAGAAATTGGACAAGACTAAACAAATGAGATAGAATGTTTAATTTTAGTAGTTCTAGTAATAAAAGCAGAAATGAAAATAGCTATCACTAAGCAAGGCCTACCATGTGCCAGGCACTATCATAATACTTTACATTTATCATTTTATTGAATCCATATAACTATCTTGAAAAGTTTTATCATTACAATTTAACAAATAATAGAGCCTATTAGAGGCTATGAGAGGCTAGAGAGGTTAAGTGACTTGCCTTAATGACAAAGCTAGTAAATGGTAGAGTCAGGATTTGTACTCATGTCCAACTCTAAAACTTTCTGTTACGTGACTCCAGAGAGCTATTATCACCAGTATCATAGAGTTGGAAGGTTATGGTTATTACTGAGCACTGAAGTTCAGATTTTAGATGTCAGAAAAGTACTTGAGTATGTGATCTTCCTGGCAGATCTAAATTCAGATAAAATTGCCATATTAATACCTCCATCCAGCTCTGATAGAATGATGTTATAAAATCATTGCTTTCATGCTACTCTCTGGATATCTAGAACATTCTATTTGCATGTATCACTCTCTTCCCCACATAGAGCCCTATGCAACAAAATTTTGCACACCCAAATCAAAACATGATGCTAACAGATGAATTTTCTCAGGATAAAAATTAGCACAAGAAACTAATTCACATCAAGTTATATAATAGGTTCATGTTTGTCTCCTATGGGTAACACGTGGAAAGTAACAACAGAAGTATAACAGTATCACCCATGGTTCTTCACACGGGTCATGGGATCCAGGATGGTGAAGCTATAGTAAAAGTGCAGTGCTGCACAATTTCCCATAAGCAAAAATGAATTCTATTCATAGAAGTTTCCAGAATTGCAGGACAGTCCAAAAACCTCAGCTGCTTTAGAAACATCTGGCCATTTGAAACTCTCAATATAGTCGGGGATTTTCCCCCATAACCTGCCTGACAGTATATAACAAAATAGCAGCCAAGAATTGCCACCAAAAAATATTTTAGTAGCACAAGGACTTGAGGGAAATTACTTAAGCAATGTATATATTAATCATAAATTATAGTTGGCTTAGGGCATTAAAATATATGAGCATGCTAGCTAAACTGTAAATTGAATAAAAACAACATGCAAAAGCATGGAATACACTCTTTGATTAAATTACTTATATGTTTTATGAATGTATTCTTTTAAGAAATAATTGGTTACAATATTTTTATAATTTTCAAATTACTTCTAAATGTGTTTATTCAGATTTTTAAGATACTAAAAGACACAAAGTCAGTTTAACTAGTGGTATTTAACCTCGTTAAAATCATGGGTCTCTTTGAGAGTCTGATGAAAACTCTGGATCCTCTCCTAGAGAAAGAATGCACAATGTAAGCCTTGGATATATTTGGGTTCAAATTATGTCTTGCATTTTTTTTAGTGAGGGGAACTATGCTCTTCTCAAAATGTATGCTATCCTATACTCTATGATTAATTCTTGTTCCCTTACACTAGTGATATTATAGAGTTCTACTAAGTTGTTTTTCCCATGAATAGAATTTTCTACTGAGGACAGTGGACTACATTATATGCCTACTCTTTCATAATCACATGCTTTCTATCAATATAACTGAGGTAAGACTATGATTTGGAAATGCTCAAATTTGTATTTTTAAATGGACCAACACCTAAGTTTGTAGTGTACATAAAAAAGTAAAAAAATCTAGAGACTAAATTGTGGGAAGGTAAGAGGCGTGGGCAAAGGCAAGGGACGAAATCTAGTTATCTCTAAAATGGGGTGGGTGAAATCATTTTTAAGCAGTTAAACTTCTTATTCAGTTAAAGGTGATACAAATTTCTGAAATAAAAAATGAGTTTAAGAAAATATCCTGTTTTATATATTAAAAAAAGTCTTATTTATCTTTACTGACATATCATGTCATTTACCCCTACTCAGGAGCTGTGTTTGAGCTGGATATAAAGCAAAATGAATGAGTGAATACATTCATCCTGCTTTCCTAATAAGTGAGTTGCAAAGAAAGTGCTATGGAAGAAAGTTCCCAACTTATTACCACCTAAAGTCAGTAATGATTCTTGGCATGAGAGATTCACTTTAATATATAAAACTAGCAATTTATTTTTAAAATATTAAATTGTATGAAAATAATTTTATAAATCATAAAATTTTGAATTTCAGATGGTTAAATGGGATATAACAACTTTTAATAAAAATTAATCTGAAGTTGCACACGTTTAATTTTATATTAAATTCTGTTTAGATTTAAAGTATCAGAGGATTGAGAAAATATATTATTTTGGTTTGCTTGAATTTACATAATTGGCTTTTATGATTTACAGATAGCATTCTAAAGGCTATTCCAAATGATGTTTACTCTTTAAATATGTTAGTCATTTTAAACTTGATTTCTGATGAAGATCTAGCTTATAGTAATTTAAATCTTCTGATTTCCTTATTTGTCTTCCATTATAGGGAGTTTAATTATGTTGAATGTCTATTTATTTATTTTACTTACCTAAATCAGGCTTTAGGTCAGTAGGCAAGCTTAACTTCCTTGACATCTTTGCTGAAAAATAAAACGCATTTTTAAAATTCTGAAGAATATTTGGTTCATACTTATTAACATCAACTGACTTTCAAGATAGAAGTGAATACTTTTAGTACTAAATCTAGATTCTAGGATGATTAAATATAAGTAATATTAGAGGTGAAAGTAAACCTTACTTTCAACTTTTTTAAAAGTTTGTACTTACTTGATGTAGTATCTTTTTGTACTTGAAGCTCTCACTTCAAGGAAGCCTTTTAAATTCTAACTTAATTATTTCTTAGGCTCACAGGAAAGGGTTAGGCTTTTCTAAGGGAAGAAAGTCATTGCTCAGAATAAAGGTGTTGTAGATAAGGACAGAAGAAGCAGAAGACTAAGTTTGGGTAAGTGACATAAAATCTTTCCAGCTCATCATTTTCATAGCTAATGGGCTTATTATTTTTAAAAGTAATTTCTAGATTATAGGACAAACCTGTATCTAGGATCAAATTAAAGTATTTGATTACATCATAGAAATATCTGACTCAACCATTACTTGTTATAACACTTCCATTTATATTATAGTGAAAAAAATCATGCATAATATAAAATTATAGTATTTACATAAAATGTAAACTACAGGTATTTTTATGTAGTATTAGAAAAATGAAAAAGCTGATGCATACAATTACTGGAATTCACTTTCCACCCTCAAAATCAGTTATTGCCTTAATGCAGCAAGTGATTTAAAGTTAGGAGTTGTTCGGCTGTACCTATTATGTTAGTGGTAGTGCATGCATAACGCAATAGTGCTTCCTATGCACAATTCTGACAAAGCGTTTGTTAATACACGAAAGTGTATATTGGGTTAAACTTTGGACTGTTAGGAGATATTTAAAGCACAGACCCTGCTAGTCCATAAGGGCGCCATGTAAACAAAGAGAAATCCAGTCATAGCACATAACTTCCACATCTAAAAAAATGACAAACCCAGTGTTAGGAAAGAGGCATTAAGTAGACTGGAAAGAGTCATTTTCACTGACTTAATTTGAACTAAAAAATAAAATATAACACAAAATAAAATAGACAAAATCTTCGGTTAGTTGCCTCACATCCATGATTGCAATTGTGTCTGACAGCCAATACCCTTAAAATTGGGAGGTATTATATCCCTAAAACAGGTCTCGAAAAGGCAGTATTAAACACTTTGAAAGAATTCAGAGATTTTCATCAACTATCATAGGTACAATCTACATAGACTGATAAGTGATATCTTTACAAGGGGTATGATATCTGAAGTAAAAAATCAACCTGGTACAGTCTAAAGATATTCATAGAATCAGATGAGATGGATGCTGCCTCTATAGACTCCACTACTCTAATTTGATCAAGTTATTCTAAGTCTTTGGGACCTGTGCTTTTCAAATTTGACTTGTCACATCAGTCACCTGGAGATGTTAAAATGCACATTCTGATTCTGTACTGCTGGACGGAGGCTTAAGAGACATTTCTAACATGCTCCTAATAGACATTGGTGTTGCTGCTCTGTGGGCCACACTTTGAGTATCACACTCTTTAGACTATCAGCAACTTCAGGGTAGTAACCAAGACAAATCCATGAATCCCAGTATATATATATATATAGTTAAGCCACAAAAAACATTTCTTAAATAAGCTTTGATATCTAACTTATAAAACGTGGAAGTGTAAAGTATAGTGATTAGGACCTGGTTTATAATCAGGCAAGACCTGGGTTTGAATCTGGTGTGTAACCTTAGGCCAATCATTGTGCCTGTCTGAATTTCAAATTTCGAGATAGATAGTTGTGAGCATTCGATAAGATGATGTAAGCAAAGAACTGAGCATGATAACACCTGGCACATAGCATGATTTAATAAATGTTATTTATTGTTATTAATAAAATGAGAATATAATTTTTTGTAAACTGTAAAACACTATACAGATGCGCTATTACTATACTTGCAAATAATCTAATGTTCCTTCACTCTAAATTCTATGGCAATATTCTAAGTAACTAAAACAAGAAAATAAAAAAAACTTTAGGACAAATGTATAAAATGGCATACACCACTATAGCTCCAACTTTAAAGTTCATTTCAAAAACTAAATTTAATATATGGCTAAACATAAGAAAGAAGAGAAATAACCTGACTAATTTACAAGTAACAAGTTTATCCCTCTTTAAGTTAATAACTTAAAATATGTTAAATATTTTGTCAGTTAGAAATATTTCTGAGGCTTTCATCAGCAACCATATGTTTCTGTCAAAAAATTTTTCTTGCACAAAATTTCCTTCTGAATTTTTTAAGTGTATGCTTTTGATCTTCCTTAGGATTTCTATTAGAAATAAATTTACATAACCTCACATATTCTTAAAGATTTAAGTCAATCTCACAGAAGTTTTTGTCTAGCACTACATTAAACTTCTTTAATATGTAAAAGTACTGAATATAACTAACTAGCTTTTAAATAATTCTTCATTTTGTCTAATTTCAACATTTTATTAGTACTGAGAGGTTAAAACCACACACTAAGTGACTATGATTGTTTAAATATAGTAATTTTACTATATAAATGTCACAAAAATTTTAATTATGAAGTCTATTAATTATTTCCTCCCGAGACACTTTGCAATTGGATACCTGCAACCAGGCCATCAACTTAACCATAGTGTTCAAGTGACAGATATTTAAGCCATACTACTTAATTATATTTGGATATAATTTTAAGCAAACGTCCTTGAATATAGAACTTGAAATGACAAATAACATTAGAAGAGTTAAACTTTATTATTTTGTATTAATTCTAGCTATTAAGTAATATTTAAAATACAGAACTAAGAGTTTCCCGGAGCAGAGAAAAATTTTTGTTACATGTGAAGGTACAGACTGGGACAGAAGGGTATTTATTCATATATTAAATATTTACTGGGCACAAGCCAGCAATGTGCCAGAGGCAGGAATACACTTACTGGCCCCCAGGAACTCACAGTCAATGAGAGGAAACAACTCCAATGCAATACAGCAAGTACTACTCACACAGGCAAGCACAAGGTGCTGACTGGAATATGTAGAGGACATTTTGTCTGGGAATGTTTCCTTGTTGTTTTTCTCAAGAACATGCCTTGGCCTTGCACGAAAGTCCAGAGCGCCCTAACCCTGGAAACAGGAGGGGCTAGAGAGTTTAGATGCAAATAGAATCTGGAGACGAAACAACAAGGAACAGGGACGTGTTGAGTCGGGACAGTGTGGGAACAAAGCAATTGCGGTGGGACAGTTGCCAAACAGGCTGTGTTATAAATAAAGCAACTACAGCAAGAGCTTTTGCTGCAGTCTTATACCGTCTTTGTGTGTCTGTGTCTTTTTGTAGTGGCTGCAGTCGTGTACCGTCTTTATGTGTGTCTGTGTCTTTTTGTCTTTGTGTTCATTCCTCAGCCCCAAGAAATGGGCCACGTCAGGAATACACTGGATTTATACTTATCTCAGCCTGGAACACATATCTAAGGCTGTGGGATGTACAGGCAAAGTCAACAAGAGACTCTGTACATTTTCACAAGGCAAAATATTTCCCATTTTTTTTTGTTGTTGTTGTTGACAACGTATTTTCTTTTAATATAAAAATTTACATACAAATGCAGAAATCTTAAATGTATATTCTTATACGTATTCTTAAATGTATAATCTTAAACGTTTTGACAATATATACACCTGTGTAACTCAAATCCTTAGTAAAATATATAGCATTACTACTCACTCCACAAAGGTTACATACATATGCTCCTTCCCAATCTCTGCCCCATCCCCAGAAATAACCACCGCTCTGATGTTTTTTCACCATAGATCACTTTTGCCTGTTCTACAACTTCATATCAATGAAATCACAATATGAACTCTTGTATAAGGTGTCTTTCACTCAGGATAATCTTTTATAGCTTCTTATCAAAAATATTTTAAAGCTTACATTCTTTTTTCAATGCATAGAATGACAATGAAAAAATAAAGATACTCTCTTAATTAAAAGATTCAGAGGAAATATCAAACTCACATTTTCTTACTGTTCCCCATACACTTTTTGCATTTTTAAGTTTTTTTGAATTATGTGTTCTTTATAGCATATTTGGAAAATAAATAAAATAGAGAAATAGAAAAGAAATGTTGTAATGTCCATAGTCAGAAGCAATATTTTTGCCTATTAGTTTTTAAAATCCATTTTTCTTTATACAGTTTAGACCAACTATAATATGCACACATGTATCCTGCTCTTTTTCACTTATTTTCTTTTTTTTGGAGACAGTCTCGCTCTATTGCCTGGGCTAGAGTGCTGTGGTGTCAGCCTAGCTCACAGCAACCTCAAACTCCTGGGCTTAAGCGATCCTTCTGTCTCAGTCTCCCGAGTAGCTGGGCTACAGGCATGTGCCACCATGCCCGGCTAATTTTTTTTTCTACATATTTTTAGTTATCCAGCTAATTTCTTTCTATTTTTTAGCAGATACAGGGTCTCGCTCTTGCTCAAGCTGGTCTTGAACTCCTGACCTCAAGCGATCCCCCCGCCTTGGCCTCCCAGAGTGCTAGGATTACAGATGTGAGCCACTGCGCTTGGCCTCTTTTTCACTATTAAGACAAGCATTTTCTTACTCATTAACTGTTACTGTATTTTAATGACTGCATATTTATTTATGTGGATGAACACATAAAACATTTTGCTATTTTTTCCAATTTTTCAATATACACAGTAATAAAAAATGTGGTACATAAATATTTGCATACATTTTGTATTATTTCCTTAGGATAGAGTTCTACAGGGGAAAATTAATGCCAGTACAATTCTCCCAATCCCTGAGGTGTTCTAAAATATGTCTTTAAGTAGTATTTTTTTAAAGGGCATATTTCAAAAACTTCTGTTCAGATGAAAACAAAGAAAAACATGCATAACTTTGGCAAAATGGCAAAGTTCTAGCTCACAACTATGGCCCCTCAAGACTCAAGAAATTGCTCCAATTTTTTATTGTATGAGTGTAGCTG